TCATGGGTTATGGGTTAGAGGCATCTTGTATGTGTATCGGGATCTCGCGGCACGGCTCTCGGGGGCCTCTGGGATGTAGTTTTGAAACCACGTGGGGGCCGTTTCGGAGCCTCTGGGGGGTTTCTTGGGGGTTCTTCGGGGCGTCTGGGGGGAGTCTTGGGGGCCTCTGGCGGCCTCTGGGGGCACACTTGCGGCCGCCTGGGGATCCCTGGGGCGGAAAACTAGTTTTTTTAATGTTTGGTCGCCCTCTTGGGCTTTTCTTGGTGCAGTTTTGGGGCCCTCTTGGGCCGTCTTGGGGACCTCTTGGGCCGTCTTGGGGCCATCTGGGGCCGTTTGGGGGCCGTCTTGGGGGTCTCTTGTGCCGTCTTGTGGCTGTCTTCGGGGCCTCTTGGGCCGTGTTGGAGCGTCGGGAAGCCGAAAAGGCGAAAAGGCAAAAAACACAGACAACACAATGGAACATCAACAATTTTAGCCTCTTGAGGCCCTCTTGGAAGGCTTGGTTGGGACCTCTTGGGCCGTCTTGGAGGCCTCTTGGCCAATCTCGGGGCCATCTTGGGCGTCTTGGAGCACATGTGTGGCGTCTCGGGGCCCTCGTGGGCCGTCTTGGAGGCCTCTTGGGGCCTTCTTGCCCCGTTTTGGGGCCATCTTGGGTCCGGAAAAGCCTCGTGATGCGCTCGCGCCGGGCCGGGGGGAGGGGGTCAAATCTCCGGTTTGGGGTCCCGGGGGGGGCGGTAGGGGGGGGGAACTATTTCACGCGCCTAGAGACCCACAAGGGGTCGGCGGATTTTCCTGGGTCCAGGATATGCGGATGGGCCGCGGTGGCCCTCGCGCCCAGCCTCGTCCCTTTCAAAGCGATGTGTGGCGGCCTTGGCGGCCCTATTCAGACTTCACCCTGCGCAGAAAGATTTGCCGCGCTGCGCGGGCTTGAAGTTGCTGCCAGGCCGACCGAGCTTGTCGCGGATCATTTGATTCTCGCCCGTGAAGGGGCCGCGTGGGATGGCAAGCATGCTAGACCTCTGGCCCCGCACTCTAGCGTCTGTCGCACAATTCATCAGTTGTACAGTTCTGGCGAACGCCGACCTGTTTTTACCTGGACTAAGGCCCATCGTTCTTTCGACGGGGGTCTTTCTGCGTGCGTCGACTCGGGCGAGGCGCTAGATAATTTGTTCGGCAACATGTGGGCCGACTGTTTCGCGAAGCTGGCCGCGCTCGAGATGTCGGGTCCGTCTTCGATCGTCAAGGGTTTCAAGTTTCAGTTGGAGCAAACGCTGAGCCGCATGAGGCGTCTTGCGCTTGCAGCGGAGAGGGTGGCAAGGCCGCGCCAACTGTCAAGAAGTCCCTTGCGCCAGCCCCCGAAGCTCGGCGCGCAATGAAGCCTACCACGCCTGTTTTTGTCGGCTTCCCTGAGGGAGCTTTCGGTTGCAAGACTTGTTGGAGGCAGGCCATCTCTGTCTCTGTGATCCCCAAATTCCCGGGCCTGGCCACCGCGCGCTTATCTGTGCGCGCTGTGGAGCGCACGCGGTGCGCCCCCAGCGGCTCTCGGTCGGCCTGGTGCGAGCTCGCAGGGGGGGCGGGACTGGGGCGCCAGGGAGTCGGGCGGAGCGGGATCGGCTGCAGAGGCGTCTCGAGAATGCCCAGGAGGGCCGTCATCCCAAGACGGGAGAGGTCCGGGGCTCTTCGTTGCTGGCGGACGTGCCAGCGGATTTTTTTCGTGAGCATGGGCTCTCAGCAGGTGCCTCCGCGGGTGGGGGCCGCGGGTCCTGGGGCCGAGGCCCTTGGCCTGCGTGGCACGGCGCTGCTCGAAGATGCCCCAGTTTCGGACTCACGGCCCGCGTCGGCCGCGTGAGCACCCGCGCGCGGCGCTGGCGCCTGGCCGCGCCGCCAGGGCGCCCCCGGCCTAGCTGGGTCGCCCCTTCTTGTCTCGAGGCGGCTTCGTGGTTCACCTGGCCGCTCTCTGCGCTGCCCCACTGCTCTTGCCCCTTGCCTCTTGCCTAACCGAGCGGCCAAATGCTCTGACAGGGACCGCTGCGACTCGCTGGCCGCTCGCGCTCACAGAGTTTGAATTACCGCGGCGCGCTGGGGCTCCAGATCATTTGGTTGGGGGGCTCACTCGTGGTACCCTGGTGGCAAAACTCCACGCTTGAGCGCATCGACCAGTCGTTTGCCATGCTTGGGCAATGGCTGCGTGCACGGCTTCGAAAGCCGAACGGAAATTCTGCGCTCCTACTCCTCAACACTTCGTGCGCCAGAAGACCCCTCTGAACCGCGCGATGCGATGATAAGCGTGCAAGAGGCAGGGTGGCCGAGGCAACGAGAAGATAACCGCGCCTGCCTGGGAGAAACAATCGATGGCCTGGTGAAGCAGGCCGCAAAAGAAAGGCGTCTATTGCTGTTCTTCACGACGGCGTGGGTCCTGGACAGCTCGGCAGCCTGAACCTTATCCCTCCTGAGACTCGCCCGCCTTTTGGCCTCATGCTGCCTGTCATGCATGCTAACTGGGCGCCTGGCGAGACATGTGATCTGTTACTAACAACAGATGGTGTCTTGGAGCTGGGATGCGAGCGGATCTGTCTTAGCTACTTCTGCGATGCGTGTTCCTGACAGCTGGGTGGCTCTTGCCCTCTCATCAGCACGCGCCCGCAACCCTGTTCGCGAGCCAATGGGCTGGGGACATCTGTGTCGACTCTGCCTGATAAACAGATTCATGGGAGGTGATAGCATGGACACCAAGGGTCTACCATTGGCCACCTCCCAAACATCTTGCCAGAGCCTAGCAGTAGAGTCAGGCCTACCCTTTGGGCCCTTCCGAATTCCATTCACGACATTCTGCGCAGCAAACGAGCACAGCTGGACCGCGGGTGTACCTAAGGCCTTCGGTGGCAACAATCAAGTCAGCTATCGGCACTGTCTGCTTCCATAGTCAACTGGGCCGCGTGCCCAAGCAACGAGGTGCCAGCCGCGCATGCTGGCGAAACCGCATCGACACCTACGGATGCGATAGTCCTCCGCGCGCTTGCCTCCAGAACCGTCCGAGGCTATGATGGACAAACATTCGCGAGCTCTCCGAAAAGCAGATCCTGTCCTTTGGGTCGGGCGTGTCACGAACGGGTACACCCGCAAGGCAGGCGCGATCCCCCGGAGCCAGAACCTCGTCGCGGGCCTGGGCTGTGAGTTCCCCGTTGAGCTTTTCAGGGCATCGTTCGCTGGACATTCCCAGTTCTGGTGGAAACGCGCTCCCTGAGACGCTCCGCACCTGGGAAACTCTGGCGCATTCCAAGTCGGGCGGCAGGGGCGACAGGCCAGGCCAGTCGGAGAATCGGGGTCCCCACACGGGTCAACACTCTCCTCAGCCAGGCCTGGTCAGGCCAGCTCATCTTCTTCCTGCTGCTGCCTGAGCATTTCCTCAAAACTGAAATTCACCTCCTCCGCCCGCTCCTGCTCCCCTGGCTCCGAAGCAGCAGAAGAGGGGCCTGGGGCGGGCGTGACGGCGGAGGGTGGGTCGGGCTGGGGAGGCCTGGCGGCCTCGTCTCCAAGTCGCCGGGTCGCTGGTCAACGTACTCCTGCCGTCACCATACGAAGCACACCTACCTGGTCATATTTCCCCGCCTTGATCAGGGCTCGTACATGGCGTCTGTTGGTGGTTGGATCTGGGCCATGCTCGAGGCCCTTGTAATGATAGTGCCCAGAAGCATTCGCCCCAGCTTGTTGATCCAGAGCCCCATACAACTCAAACTACACGACACGCTCTGGATCATCAAGCTCGAGATTGTTCAGATCACCCTCAATATTGCTCCACTCCAAGGGCGACGTGGCTGTCCATCCTAAATCTAGCAACGCTGCTATGGTGGCTGAAAGGGTTCCTTGCCACGTCTTGCCAGCGTCTTCGAGTGTTGACTAAGCCTTCCGCCAGGCAATCAGAAGCGCCTGTCTGCGGTTGCTCGTCAGATCTGGCAGCATTGCAATCCACTGCTCGACAAGTCGGATGCGTCCAACAACTAGCGGGTCCAGGTGGCCAGAAGGGAATGTCGTTCGAATCGTGGTCGTCGCGCACACGCCTTTTTTTCCTCCCAGCATCCCAATTACTTGCGCGCGCATGCGAAGAAGGACTGAAGGCGCAACTCCTTGCGCCTCGATCCCCCAGGCCGCATGGGCAAATACCCTGTCTTGCTTAAGCTGTGGCCTTGCGCTGTGTCTTGACCACTCTTTTTATCATCTGTCCGCGGTCAGTGCTGGCTAGGAGGCGTTTTTTTGGCCCTCCTCCTCCTCCTCCTCCTCCTCTTCCTCTTCCTCTGCTCATCCTCCTGCTCATCCGCCTCGTCCTCCTCCCCCCCCCTCCTAACTCGGGTTATGTACGCAGCTCCTTGTTCCCGATTGCGAATCACACCATGCGTTTTTTTTGGGGGGGGGAGTGCCACGGCCTCTATGACACGCGCCCGCGGATAGAGAAGACATAAGCGCAATGGGAAGGGACGGGTTGGAGGGGCAGGATGCCGGAGATGCCGCGGGCGCACCTAGCCTGGCTCCCACCTCGTGCTCCTTCCGGGGGAGGGGGCCCTGTTCCCGCTGGGCCCACGCCGCCGCACCCAGGGCGAGGGCCTCCCTGCAGAGCCGGCGGCGTTGGAAGGGGACGAGGACGCGGTCGCGCTGCCTGCGCCAGGGAGGGGTCGGCGTCGTCGTCGTCGTCGTCCAGAGGAGACCTCCAGTGCCTCCCGGGCACGTTCGGGTCCTCGCCGTCGTTCCTCCTCGTCCTGATCGGCGGATGAGGCAACGGAAGGGGAGCAGGAGAAGATGGAGGAGGATGGCCCTACCCTTTGATCCTGTAGGAGTCATGGTCAGATGCCTTGGCATTTCCGTGGTAACCCGTGTTCTTTCCTTCCGAAGACCAGGCCTTGCGCCCCTGCGCCACTGCCCTCCTCTCAGCAATTTTGGCTCAAGCGATAATTTTGAGCATCTTCGTCCTCGCCCGACGTAAAGATTGCCAGCAGTTGTGATTCTACGACATGGTAATTGACTCCAAAGTGCTGCTCTACCCTGTGCTGTGGGCCGTTGCTTATGTCTTCGCCCCATCCATGGACCTTACAAATCACGTCCTTGGAGCAACAGCGTTGAGGTATGCTGTCAACCTCGGTTTTACAAGCCTGGCGCATATTGAGAGCGTATCTTACCACCGGCGTGTCATCAACAAGAATCCTCCAGCTAAGCAGCTTGCACAGGAGCTAGATTGGGACACGCCCGTAGTTGGCAGCGTGATTGCTTTCTTGCTAGTCGAAAAAATCACGCCCTTGTTGTCCAACCCCACGGAGTTATCATTGACCAGCCTCTTGCTCTGCATCGTCGGTCATTACTGTATAGTGGAACCTGTTTACTGGGCTTTCCATGTGGCGCTCCATTGGCCCAAGATGTATAAGGAGTCTCACAGCCACCACCATTCGTCAATCATTACAGAGTCGGTCTCTGGCACCTCGCACCCGCTGCTCGAGACAACCGCATACTTGGCGATATTCTCGATGCCGTTCTTGTTGCCTGCGTTCTGCGGGCACTTCTCCTATGAGCTGGTTTACATTTACTTCACCTTCTTCGACATCATGAATTGCATCGGGCACTGCAACTTCGAGTGCGTCCCAGAGTGGCTGCAGTGGGGCCCCCTAAAGTACTTGGTCTATTGTACCGCTTACCATTCGGAACATCACACCAAGTTCCGAAAAAACTATCCAGCTTCCTCCGGTAAGTCATGCCAACGTGCCATTGCAGCATTCGGGTGGCGATTGTTCGAGGGGTATTGGAGGCCGTCACGTGTGATACCTCGTGTCCGCAAATTTGTGGGAGTTGTGATGATGAGGATGATGACGGTGATGAGGAGGAGGAGGAAGAGGATGTTGATGATAATGTTGATGGTGATGGTGGTTGTGATGGTGGTATTAACGACGCAGATAATTACGGTGACGACGATGATGCTGATGATGTTGATGATGATGACGATGACGATGACGCTGACATTGATGATGATGCTGATGATTCTGCTGATGAGGCTCATGATGGTGATTGTGATGGTGATGAGGATGATGACCAGGATGATGATGATGATGATGGTGATGATGATGATGATGCTGATGCTGATGCTGATGCTGATGATAATGATACTGATGATGGATGTTGATGACGATGACGATGATAATGCTGCTGCTGATGATGGTCATGATGAGGTTATCATGATGGTTGATGATGTTGATGACGATGATGCTGATGATGGTGATAATGACGATTCCTATGATGACTCTGCTGCTGATGCTGACGATGCCGATCGTGACAATGATGATTATGGTGCTGATGATGGTGTTGATGATGGTGTTTGTGGTGAACGTGGAGGTGGTATGATGTTTGTGGTGAAGGTGGTGGTGGTGGTGGTGGTGGTGATGATGATGATGATGATGATGATGGTGTTGAAGATGACGATCTGATGGTGGTGGTGGTGGTGGTGGTGGTGGTGGTGGTGATGATGATGATGATGATGATGATGATGATGATGACGATGATGATGATGATGATGATGATGATGAGGATGATGATGACCCCGCCAGATAGCACGTGGCATTCTACCACGCCTCAACGTGCCAGGGGGCACGGTGTCGGGTTGCCTCTTCTGCCCGCTGTGGGACTACCTCGGCGGCACGGTGAGCAAGGACACGTACGCCCTGCAGAGGAAGAGCCTGAGCCGCAGCGGCTATCCCAGGGGCCTGCGTCGCTCCGCCTGGGGCCCCGAACCGTGGGAAGGGGGGTGTTAGCTACACGACAGAGCGACCCTTCGCCAGATTGACGCGGGCTCAATGGGGTTCTGGATCGCTGAGTGTGATGCGATAGCAGCGGCTTGCGCGCCCAGGTTTGGCGCCCCCGCGCCCCTCCTAAAGTCGCGCACCAAAGGCCACTCTTGCCCAGGATCGCTCTTGCGCGTTTCGCCGAGGGTCGCCAGGTCGGTCTCCAGTCCTTCGCCCCCCGTCTAGTCAGACTTTGGACCCTCGGGGAGAGGAAGCGACCCTTCGCCGGAGTGACCTCTGGTGCGCAGTTGTGGGCGGGCGCGCGGAGCCAACTCCAAGCGCGCGGGCCACTGCTGTCGCACCGCAGGCGACGATCGGCAGGCCGCGCGCCCAAGGTGATTCTTGCCTATGGCCACTCTTCCGTGTAGCCGAGCGGCGGAGAAGAGACGCACCACGAGCAGCAGCTCTCGGAGGGCCGCGCGGACCGGTTGTGTCGGCGCTCCCTCCCCCGCCGCGTTCCCTGGCGGCAATCTCGGCGCCGCCCTGGCGGGCAAGATTTATGCGCGTGTCCACGGCGTCATGGTTCTCTCGAGAGGTGATGCTAAGACGCCGGGGCGCAGTGGAGGTGGGTACACAAGTTGGCTTCGTTGGAGGCCAGATCTTTGCCCACAGGAAATGCGAGAGACAGTGATATCAATGTAAATCTGGCCCCGCGTGCTGCGCGCACTTTAATAAAGGAGTTGGGGAAGGGGAGCCTATCGCCGACCCGAGAAATCTGCGCGGACCCATGAAAGCTTCTGTACATGTTGTTTGTTGTTGTTCTGGGGCTCTTGGGGAACGGGAAAAAGGCAGGGTATCTTCTTCACTCGTTGTCACCCCCTTGCGGGCGGTCTTCGACGGATCAGAAGGTGGACGTGGTGTTCTTGGGCCACGGCTTCGGGTGGAGCTCCGTTCTCCGCATGCCGATGGTCAGCCCGTACATGTCGACGCAGAAGGCGGGCAATCGGTGGTGGATGTACCCCCTCTTCCCGATCTGCGCGCTGGCCGCGCTGGTGTGCCGGTTGTTCGTGCGGGCAAGCATAACCATGCAGCGCTATTCTTACAAGCACCTCGCGTGCGCCACATGGTCATTGCCGGTCCTCGCGTACAGCTACGCGAACCGCAAGGAGCGGCCCTACATCAACACGCTGCTGCTGAAGGCCATCCAGGATGCGGAGAGGCAGGGCGCAACGCACGTGGGCCTCGGGGCCCTGAACAAGGCGGTGTTCCTGAACGGCGGTGGAGAGAGCCTCCTCCCACACTTGCCCCAGCACTCCAAGGTGAGCAGCGTGAAGACGTGCGACAGGTTGCTTCGACGTCTGACGCGTCAGCTGCCCGCGTAGGGTCGCGCGCAAACGCCCTCCTGCCCACGTCGTGTGCCGCGCTGGCGGCCCGCCTAGGTCATTGCGTGAGGCCGACATGCCATCGTGCGTAAATCCTTTGTCCCTTCGCTACCCAGGTGAAAGTTGTCCACGGCAACACGCTCACCGCGGCCGTGGTCTACTCCCGGATCCGCCAGTGCATTAGCCCAGACCAGGAGATCGTGTTCACTGGCGCGACCTCGATGGTGGGAACATCAATTCTCATGGGACCAGTCTGCCAGAACAGCTTGCCCAGGTCCCCCGAAGGTCATCCGAGGTTCCCAGAGGTCCCATGGAGTCCTCCCGGGCCCTGAGGTCCCACAGAGCCTCCTGAGGCCCCCCAGAGGCCTGAGAGCATCCCCATGACCTGCAGGTGGGCACGCCCGTCGTTCTCAGGTTGCTGCAGGAGGGCTTCAGGATCCGCATCGTGACGCGATCTGCGGAGCGTTTCGCTGACCTCCGCCGCAAGGCGGGCGCTCACGGCGACAGACTGCTTCAGATCGAGCGCTACGAGGAGGGGGCAGATTGCCGCGCTTGGGTGCTAGGCACCTTCGCGACCCGACCGCTGGGGCACCTGGTGCCAGCAGGCACCACGTTCTACGAGTTCGGCGTGCCGGTAGGAGTGGGGAGGATCTTTACCACCACGAAGGCAAAGGGTCTTGATGGGAGGTGAGAGGGGGCCCTGAGGTTTCCCAACACCAAGCAATGACCCAGGGTGAGACCCGGTCCTGGGGAAGCTCCTGGTGCCCCAAACTTGTATCTTTTTAGGACCTTCTTCCTTCGTGACAACCACCACCACCACCTTCAGGAGGAAGGGCAGAGGAGACCTTAGGACCGGTGGTGGCTAAGTATGTCTTCTGGTGCTTCTCTGGGGCAGCCTGCACTCCCGCGCCTCGCAGATCGGGAAGCCGTGCGCTCTTCAGCTTTTACTGTGGCGTGCTTCCTATCACTCGAGAGGAAGAGGAGGAGGGAGGAGGGGAGGGAGGAGGACAGGCGGAGCAGGGGCAGCTGGAGGAGGAGGAGGAGGAAGAGGAGGAGGAGGAGGAGGAGGAGGAGGAGGAGGAGGAAGGTTTGTCCCTCGAAGGTCTCGAAGCTGCCACATATGAGAACGCCAACGAGGTATGTCAGAGGGATCCCCCCTTGAGATGAGGTTTAACGGCCATACGCGTTGTCGTTGTGCGTTGCCTCAGTGACTGCCTTCGGCGCCCTGGGATCTGCTTGCGCCCTCGGATCTGCGCAAGTCATTCTGGGGAGGGGCAGGAGGAGGAGGAGGAGGAGGAGGAGGAGGAGGAAGAGGAGGAGGAGGAGGAGGAGGAGGAAGAGGGGGATGAGGAGTTGAATGAGCAGGATGAGGAGGAGGAGGAGGAGGAGGAGGAGGAGGAGGATCATGATGAGGAGGAGGAGAAGGGGGAGGAGGAGGAGGAGAAGGAGCAGGAGCAGGAGCAGGAGCAGGAGCAGGAGGAGGAGCAGGAAAAGGAGGAGGAGGAGGAAGATCAGGAGCAAGGGCGGCAGGTCTCGAGCGCAGAGTTCCTGCAGCCGCACAGCGTGGTGAGCATCGCCAGCATGCGCGTGAACCGGCAGGCCCTGCGGCCCGGAAGGATTCGGTGCCGCCCCAGATCTTGACCCTTGGAGTTCCCTGGAGGTTCTCTGACGTCCTCGCGCTGTGAAAAGGTCACGACGGCATGTTTCTGTAGTTCATTTTCGGCCTCTGGGGGCCCTCGCCAGGCCTGGGACCGTCGAGAAAGGACTCGGGATGAACAAACAGATTCCGGGAAGGGGTCCAGACCTTTGGGGCCCGATGTGTGGGTTCCCGGAGGCCCCTGGGGACCTTTTGGATGCTTCAGAGGCGCCCAGAAAGATCCAGAGGCTCCCAGAGTAATCGACCCTCGACCCGTGATCGCCGTCCTCGGTCCTCGACCGTCGAGGTCTGCGACCTCACCTTCTGCCACGACCACAGCTCCGACCAGATGCCTGCCTGCCTGGCGGCGACCATCATACACGGCCTTGAGGCCCTCGAGGAGCACGAGGTCGGGGAGGTGCCGCGGTGTGCGGGAAGGGGGGATCACGTTTTGGAGGAGGTTTTTATCCGCGCTGCGGAGGGGGGTCGGAGTGTGTTGTCGGGCGAGGTGGCACGGGATGGGGCTGCCTAAAACAGTGCGCGGGGTGGTGGTGGTGATGGTCGTGGATCCAGCAACACAATTTCGTGCCCCTTCTGAGCGCGAGGTTGACGTCGCGAGGATGGACGGGTGGCTGCAGCTCGCCAGGAAGCACGGCTTCGAGCCGACCCCGCCCCAGGCTTGGTGGTAGCAAAAAAACCACAGGGCCTCAGCGAGGTATTTCCCCCGTCGTCGTGGTCGTCGCAGCTGCCGTCGTCTTCGTTGGCGTCGTCGTCGTCGTCGTCGTCGTCGCCGTCGTCGTCGTCGTCGTCGTCGTCGTCGTCGTCGTCGTCCCTCATTTCCCCTCTCATCGTCCCTCCTCTCTCCTCCCTCCCTCCTCCTCCGTCCCCATGTTCAGCGCGCACCCGTAAAGCCCCAACCGCACCCTAAGAATCGCTTTCCTCCTCCCCGCCCCTTCTCCCCTTTCCCTTCTGATCCCGAACTTCTCCCCTTTCTTCCTCTCCCCTCATTGCGGCTGGCTCCCCACTTGGGGAGGGGGAAGGGGGAGGAGGAGTTGGTGAGGAGGAGAAGGAGGAGGACCAGTGCAAACCCATGGTGCATGAACGATGTTGCAATCAACCCTCCCTCCAGGTTTCCTTTTCGTAGGCCCCTGACGAGTTTTAATGTTCATTGCGGGAAGTTCCTCATTGGAAGACAACCTTTTGAGAATCTTCGATCGTACCAGAAAGGCAATTCCTGGGACTCCAGCGCCGCGAAGCAACGTGACTGTTCCGTCCTGACAATCCTACTTCGTGCCAGAACAGTATTCCTGGGACTTCAACACCGCGAATTCACGTGACTGCTGCGTCTGGTAAATTTCACACCGTGCCAGAACAGCATTCCTGGGACTTCAACCGTACGATTTTCTGAAACATCTAGAATTGTTCAAAATTAGTGCGCGCGGCGCAAAGGCGAGAGCCAGAGCCGGCATCCATCTTGGACGTTGTTGCAAACTTTGAGACAAATGCGCGCGGCCCTAAGGCGAAAGCCATATTGTGACAAATGTCAAGCTTCAGGACGATAATGTGTAAGAAGGGCTCAGGCGAAACGCCTGGCCCGCTCTACCGACACATTTGGGAGTGCGACAGGGATGAGTTTCTCTGCAAGGATGCGGGATGGAGGAGGAGGGGAGGGGGCAGGCGGCGGAGGAGGGGGAGGAGGAGGACCAGGAGGAGAGAGAGTGGTTGAGGTGGGTACGGAAGGGCGCACACCTGCACCGATCCTGTCCAGGCCGATCATGTGTCCAGGATCGGTGTATGTGCCCTCCTGGCCAAGCCAGGAGGGTGAATACACCAATCCTGTGCCCATGATGTACCTGGCCAGGATCGGTGTAGGTGTATAGAGTGTAGTTGGCGCCCTCCCAGATGAGGAGAAGGAGGAGGAGGAAGGAGGAGGATCAACGACCACCAGCCACCCAGCCTACCCGGGATCGGGTACGCATGCTTCCCTGCCCTGGCGGGGAGGGCGTTCGGTCACCGACTTTGGGGCCCAGGATCGGCCAGGCCAGGCACGGCAGAGGTGCAAACTGGGCGTCCTCCTGGGAGGACGGGGGCACGCGAGCTGCCGACGAGGACGGGGAGGAGGAGGAGGACGAGAGACCACCTGAGGATAGTCTGTGCAACGCGAAAGGAGGACGAGAAGGATGAGCAGGAAAAGGACAGTACGACGAAAAGGAGGAGGAGGAGGAGGAGGAGGAGGAGGAGGAGGAGGAAGGAAGAGGAGGGGAGACGCCCGCAAGTCTCCGGGGATCCCCGGTGGCCTCCAGATCGTCCCCCCAAAGGGCCCGAAGGCCCAAGGAACCTCGAGGAGAACAGAGGACCTTCGAGGAGATTGAGGAGAGGAGGGTGCCGAAGCTGACCGCAACCTGCGGCCCTGGCTGCTCCAGCGAGGTGGGCGCTGGCCAGCCGCATGGCCCGGTCTTCCCCAACCCGCAGGAGTCAGGGGCAATGCTTGGGGGGGACAGGCTCAGGAGGGAACGCATCGACTCCCAATCGCCGACTTGATCGCTGAGAGGAGCGTGCGGACTTGCTGGCGGTTGCCTGTCGCCGATCTATCGGCGACGGATCGCAGACTCCAGGTCGAGGTTTCCCCCCTGGAGCCGGTCCCCCCTCACGTTGCCCCTCGCAGGAGGGCCCCGGCTCCGCCAAGCGGCCCGCCGAGGAGGCGTTTACCTGCGAGTCGCGGAAGGCGGGCGGGGGCGAGCCGCCGGCCAAGCGCCCGCGGGGGAGGCACGCTTGGCGCGCGAAGGCGATGGTGGCCGCGGCCTCGCAGACGGCGGCGTGAGGCCCCCAGCGGCAGCGAAGGGCGAAGGGCGAGCCACGGGTCGGAGGGCACCGACGATACACCAACACCGATCTTGGGCCCAGGGTCGGTGCACACGCCCGGATGGGTGTCGGTGTATAGTTGGCGTCCACCTCCCAGGCGGGCTTCTCGGGCGCCGCGCCGATCGCCCGCCGTGGCGCTCAGGCGGCTCCGCGGCCGCCGGCATCGCGGGCTGGCGGGCGGCGTTCTGGGTGGGCCCCGCTGCAGCTGCTGCGGCGGCGAGCTGGGCGGGGGGGATCTGGGCCCGCTGGTCGGTGCTCCGCCCTCCGCCTTCGGCTGCGGCCATCAGATGCGCGCCCAGCGGGGGTGAGGCGCGGCCTCCGCGAGGTTCGGCCTCCATTGGAGGCCGAGCCTCCCTGCCTCGCCAGGATCGTCCTGGGCTTGCGATCGGTGTATACGCCCTCCTGGCTTGGGCGCGCACACACCGATCCTGTGCCCAGGATCGGCCTGGCACGGAACGGTGGTGGTGTATAGATGGTCCAGGGTCTGGGCCCCCCCCCCCTCGTGCTGATGCCATCGGGCCTTCCCCCCCCCCCGCGCGATGGTCTCCCCCTTCCCCTGTGGGTGTGGTGTGGTGCTGTGGGTGTGGCGTGTGTGGCGTGGTACTGTGGTGCTCCAGGCGAGCTCCGGAGGTCGTCGTCGCCGCCGTCGTCGGAGGAGGAGGGCTCCGGAGCCGCCGCCGCCGCTGCCGCCGCCGCCGCTGCCGCCGCCGCCGTCGTCGTCGTCGTCGTCGCCGCCGTCGTCGTCGTCGTCGCCGCCGCCGTCGTCGTCGTCGTCGTCGTCGTCGTCAACATTCTCGTCGCCGTCGTCGTCGCCGTCGTCGTCGTCGCCGTCGCCGTCGTCGTCGTCGCCGTCGCCGTCGCCGTCGCCGTCGTCGCCGTCGTCGTCGTCGTTGTCGCCGTGGTCGTCGTCGTCGGAGCCGTTGTCGTCGCCGCCGTCGCCGTCGTTGTCGTCGCCGCAGTCGTCGTCGCCGTCGTCGGCGTCGTCGTCGCTGTCCTCGTCGTCGCCGCCGCCGTCGTCGTCGTCGTCGTCGTCGCCGCCGCCGCCGTCGTCGTCGCCGTCGTCGTCGTCGTGGCTGTCCTCGTCGTCGCCGCCGTCGTTGTCGTCGTCGCCGCCGCCGCCGTCGTCATCGTCGCCGTCGTCGTCGCCGTGGTCGTCGTGGTCGTCGTCGCCGCCGCCGCCGCCGTCGTCGTCGTCGTCGTCGTCGTTGTCGTCGTCGTCGTCGCCGTCGTCGTCGTCGTCGCTGTCTTCGTCGTCGCCGTCGTCGTCGTCGTCGCCGTCGTCGTCGCCGTCGTCATTGTCGTCGTCGTCTTCGCCGTCTTCGTCGTCGTCGTCCGTCGGAGCCGCCGTCGTCGTCGTCATCGTCGCCGCCGTGGTCGTCATCGTCGTCGCCGCCGCCGTCGTCGTCGTTGTTCGTCGCTGTCTTCGTCGTCGCCGCCGTCGTCGTCGCCGTCGTCGTCGTCGTCGTCGTCGTCGCCGTTGTCGTCGTCGCCGCCGTCGTCGTTCCCGTCGTCGCCGTCGTCGTCGTCGTCGCCGCCGCCGTCGTCGTCGTCGTCGTCGCCGCCGCCGCCGTCGTCGTCGTAGTTGTCGCCGCCGCCGCCGCAGTCGTCGTCGCCGTCGTCGTCGTCGTCGTCGTGGTCGTCGTCGTCGCCGCTGTCTTCGTCGTCGTCGTCGCCGCCGCCGCGTCGTCGTCGTCGTCGTCGTCGTAGTCGTCGCGCCGCCGCCGCCGTCGTCGTCGTCCGTCGTCGTCGCCTGTCTCCCGTCGTCGTCGTCGCCGCCGCGTCGTCGTCCGCCGCCTTCGTCGTCGTCGTCTCGCTGTCTTTCGTCGTCGCCGTCGTCCGTCGTCGTCATCACGCGTCGCGTCGTCGTCGTCGCCGCTCGTCGTCGTCGTCGTCGTCGTCGTCGTCGTCGTCGTCGCCGTCGTCGTCGTCGTCGCCGTCGTCCTCGTCGTCGTCGCCGCCGCCGTCGTCATCCGTCGGATCCGCCGTCGTCGTCGCCGTCGTCGTTGTCGTCGCCGCCGTCCCCTCTGCCGCCGTCGTCGTCGTCGTCGCCGTCGTCGTCGTCATGGTCGTCGTCGTCGTCGTTGCCGTCGTCGCCGTCGTCGTCGTCGTCGTCGTCGTCGTCGTCGTC